CAAGGTGAGTTCATGGAGCTTGGATGCTGCCAAGTGTCCTTTTAGCATTGCTCAAGGTGGGGGACCACCTGGTAGTTGCCATTGAATGCATATACTCATTGTAGTCATGCTGATAACAAACCACATTCCTTTGGTTCAACAACTTCCGTGATTCTAGGTGTAGAGGACCAGCTGAGGTGGGAACTTGCACGTGCACATGTTCACAATTTCCATGTTTCCTTACGAGGTTTCCTCAGCTCGGTACCGATGTTCCTCAGCTCGGCATCATTATGCCTTGTCTCGGCCTTTTACAGGATCAGTCATGGAGATGGACTGCTCCATTCGGGTATCTTTGTATGGGCTCGGTCTATCATCTGTTCGGTCCATAGATTCAGTCTCGTAGCTCGGCCCAGCCCAACACCATGGCTGGACTAGTCTTTCCACTGCGGGTTAGGCCCAAGTGCTTGAGGACTTGGGTGGACTGTTGATCATGAAGTTAGGCTTAATTGGTCTACTTATATGCTCATCCAGCCCGCTTGGATCTGGACTTCAGCGGATTGGGCCAGCCCATGGCTTGGACCTAACCCATTTCACATTTAGCCCCTTCATTTGCCTCTAGCTCGTGCTAAGGTTCCCCTTGGGGGGAGCTATTGTTCTGCTTCCCAAGCATCGCGTCGTTTTGGTTTTCCCCAGTTCGGCCTTGGTGACGGTTCAATCCTGACACATAATTCCTATATGTGTCCTTTCATAGTGACACGTGGCGATATGGGATTGGTGTGCAGAAATAGTGCGTCGATCCCATACTGAAGGTCGTGCTCCGTGTACCTGCGCGCCGGCTAGTGCAATTAATGCTCTGGTTATCAATACAAATCTCTTCATCTGCTTTTTCGTTCCTCTAGAGAGTTTCAAAGAGAGAGAAAGGTCTCTTGCCGTTCCTCTGAACCAATCTCGTTGGTGCCCTGCTCAGATTTTTTCTTTCGCCGCTGATCTTGCTCTGCTACCACTGTTCTAATCTCTGTAAGTCCTCTTTTTACTCTTCTTCTCTTGCCTCTTTTTGTCTTAATCATCTTGTTTGGCCCACTCGCTGTCTGTGTTTCATACTCTATTATCTGAGTCCCCCCTCTGTCCCGTTAGGTTTGTTAAATGGGGAAGTACCGTTCTCTGGTTGATACCCCCGAGGCCATGGCTATGTTCTGCCTGGACTATAATATTCCGAACGACGTTACCCTTTCGTTGGCGAAAGTAGATGCCAAGCGTATGGGCACGAGGAATACCGTTGTTTTTCCCATTGTGGCCATAGTCGAGGGAGGGGTTTGGTTCCCTCTTGACTTGTTGGTACGCCGATTTCTGCATCAAGTCCAGTTAACCCCAATGCAAGTATCTGTGAACCTTTTCCGTGTCATTTGCGATGTCTCTGCCCTTAATAGACGATTGGGTTTGAACCTTGACATATGGGATATCTTAGGTTGTTATACTCTTTCTCCTAACAAAGACCACAACACATATTACTTGCATGTTCGCTTATTTGATTGCCATTTGGTTACTGGGTTGCCTGATTCGGATAAACACAACGATGATTTCTTACAAGTTGGTGGAAACTGGGAGTTTCCCGCCGGAACTGAGTTTCAATCTGAGAGGATGCCCCAGAAAGACACCAGGTTCGGGCCTCTCCTTCTAAAGCCTTTTATATGTCTTGTTTTATTTTGGATGTTGCTCTAATGGATCACTTCTTTTTTACAGAGGCCTCTCGTTTCCAACGAAGTCCGAACCGAGAGAATGCTGAAGCCATAAAAGCGGCCCTGAGGTATAAAAAAAGATCTGCACTCAAGTTATTGGAATACCGGTCTACTTATCGTTCTATTATTCCAAAGAAGGCGAGGCTCGCTACTACCCTTCTAGACTCTGATACCGAGACCGACACGTCTCTCACTCATTTGGTCACGAACCGTCGCAGGAGTCAAGGTGCACTTTCTGAAAGAGCGCCCTCCTCTGCCCCCAGTTTCACAGAGAGCGGGTCTGTGGCGAAGAGAAGGGTGTTGGTGGATTTAAAGGCCGAGGCCTTTGGAGCCTCCGATGCCTTGCAAACCCCTCTGGAAAAGACCGAGGTGAAGAGTCTCATGAAGGTAAAGATGGAGGTTAGAGCTTCTGGAACCCCTGCGACTGCTGCCGAGCCGTCAGCTTCAATAGCTGCTCGAGCGAAAAAGAGAATGAGGGAGGCTAGCACAGCAGTGGTGGGGGAAGCTCCTGAGGATCCTGCCGAGGATGATGCTTTTGAGAAATGAGAGTCGCCAATATCGCATGAGGGCAGGCCCATTTCCACTTCTGATTCAGTTGTTGCTTCACAAGATTTTGCCTTTGATTTGACTAAGTTTTTGTTGATGCCGGTTGATATGGCCGACCATAATGGGCCCTGTGATATTCCTATCCTGAAGGGGACCCTTCAGATGATGACCGCTGTAAGTGTTTCCTGTTTTACTTGTCTTTACTGTTGCGTTGCTGTCTCCTTTTCTCTTAATTCTTCGTTGTCCTTCGCAGTGTATCCAAAGAATGCATCTGTCCATTACTCATGCTGAAGAGCTAGAAAGGGCCGTGCTGGAGGCCATAATGAACGCTGAAAGACTGACGGTAAGCTTGGAGATAGAGAAGGAGGGGGGCCGAACCGCGGAGAGGGAAGCATTTTGTTTGAACAAGATTGTTGCTTCGGCTGAAAAATCGAAGGAGGCTGCTATTGGGACACAGGCTCAACTCGAGGGGAAAGTGGCCGAACTGGAGGCCGTTATTGCCGTACTAGCTGCCGAGTGTTCTATGCTGGAAGCCAAACACTGGCAGTAGGGCTGGGATGAAGCTGGGGCTAGCTATAAGGAAGAGGTGCTAGTGCTACAAGATAAGCTCTTCATGAAGGGTTAGACGAGTGCCTTGACTGCTGCGCCGGTTCTTGAAGGCTCTTCCCTGTTTTAGGATATCCTCGTTCCTTCGAGATCCTTGGGTTCGAAGACTATTTCCACCTTTACTGTTCTTTCAACCGAAGTTTCTCCAGAAGATGATTCTGCAAGCAAGACCCAGGACAAGAATGTTGCCGTTGAAACGGTGGATGTTGAAGGGATTGAAATCCCAGAGACTGAAGCCACGGGAGATGTGGTTAGGGAGGCTTCTACTTCTCAGAAAGTTGGAGCTTTCTCTATTTTTCCTCCCGCAGACGGCCCCGACAAAATTGCTGATACTGCTCCTGAGTTGCCTACTGTTGATGAAAATTGATGTTGAAAGGATTGGAACTTTTTTGCTTTTCTGTTTTGATGTATTGTGGCTCGATCCCCATGACGAGCTTTCTTTCTGCACTTGCCAAGACAATTTTTCTTTTCTCTTTTCTTTTCTTTGCTGCTGGTTATGAGGCCATCTGTGCCTTTGGATGATAGAATTTTCTCTTTGAACTTGCAATCTGATGCTGTTTGGCTTTTATGTCTGAATGTTTTCTATACTGCCTGCCCTCGGCCGAGTACTATTGGGACCTCGGGGCCGAATAGAGCTCGGTCTGGCTCTGTACTACTTTTAAATAGATGATCTATCTGATTTTTTACTGCTTGCCCCCGGCCGAGTATTGTTGGGGCCTCGGGGCCGAACTGATGCTCGGTGCAGCGTTGTACCGTTTTCCCCTGCTTGAGAATTGTTGGGACCTCGAGGCCGAACTGATGCTTGGTGTGGCTAACGGATATGTGGTATGGCTGTGCTTTGAGTTCGTAAGTGGGTCTTACTTAGGTCCAGGTTGGTTTTGGAAAACAATTGTTTGCCCCCACCTGGAGCTAAGTAAGATCGGCACTGAAGACTGTGCTCTTTAGGTAGAGCTGGTTAAGTCTGTTGCAACTTTGATAGCATAAGGGCATTTGAATGCGATAAAGGCATGAAGAGGTATCTTACTCAGGTCCAGGTTGGTTTTGAGAAACAATTGTTTGCCCCCACCTGGAGTTGAGTAAGACTAATGCTGGAAGTTTACTCCTGATAGAACCTGGTCATGCTTGTTCCAATGCTGCTTGTTTGAATTAGTATTGAAGTGTCGACGTGTTGGTACTTAAGAGGTTCTGTAGATGCAAATATGTTTACTTAAGATATGTTAGTGTGGTTTCCACCAAGCAATTCCACTTGGCTAAAGTCCAATTCAGTTGCCAAACATAATTCCACCAAGCAATACCACTTAGCATGTTTGGGTGCTAACCAAATTTATATTCCGTCCAGTCGTTCTGAAACTAAGTCCATTTGGGCAAAGACCAAAGTTAATTTCGTTTGATAAACATCAAAGCTAATTCCGTTTGGTAAGGACCAAAGCTAATTCCGTTTGATGAATATCAAAGCTAATTCCGTTTGGTAAGAAAAAAAGCTAATTCCGTTTGGTAAGAACCAAAGCTAATTCCGTTTGATAAACATCAAAGCTAATTCCGTTTGGTAAGGACCAAAGCTAATTCCGTTTGGTAAGAACCAAAGCTAATTACAAGAATTTGATAAATTTGAGAAAAGTGGGGAAGTATTTGCATTGGTCAACAAATAAATGCCTTTACATTCTGATAGAGAAGTTGGGGGATAATTCTACTGATAGTATTTCTTGAGATTTGCTACGTTCCAAGGTCGAGGTATAGCTCTGCCGTTCAGATCCTCTAGGTAGTAAGCTCTGTTTCCAACAATGACTGTGACTTTGTAGGGACCTTCCCAGTTAGGCCCAAGTTTGCCCTCGCCAGGTGCCCGTTTGTGATCCATAACTTTCCTCAAACTAGTTCTCTAGGTGTAAATTGCCTTGGGAAAACTTTTTGATTGAAACTTCTGATGAGCTGCTGCTGATACGCTTCAAGTCTGATCAGCGCTGCTTCTCTTCGGCCCTCTGCCATATCCAGTGCTTGTGCAATAGCTTCCTCGTTATTGGAGCTTTCAAATAATTCAAACCGAAGGGTTGGGAGACCTACTTCAAGTGGGATGATGGCCTCCATTCCATAAGTTAGGGAGTAAGGTGTTTGCCCCGTTGAACGCCGTGCTGTGGTTCAGTAGGCCCATAATACGTGAGGTAACTCTTCAACCCATTTGCCTTTTGCATGTTCAAGTCGCTTCTTTACTCCGTTGATGATGGCTTTGTTTGATGCTTCTGCCTGTCCATTACTCTGCGGGTACCCTGGAGAAGAATTCCTATACTCGATTCTGAGGTCGGCACAAAACTTTCTGAAGACCTTACCATCGAACTGTGTTCCATTGTCCGCAATCAGTACCAGCGGAATGACGAAACGCACCACCACATTCTTCAAAACAAACCGCTTCGTGTCTGCCTCTTTAATACTTGCCAGCGCCTCAACTTCAACCCACTTAGTGAAATAGTTGGTTGCAGCAATGAAGAATCGCCTATTCCTAGTGCCTCGTGCTAATAGTCCGACAATATCTAGTCCCCATTGTGCAAAAGGCCATTGGCTGGTGAGTGGAGTGAGAGTTTTGGCCGGTTGATGAATGAGTGGAGCAAACCTCTAACATTTGTCGCATTTCTGTACGTACCGCTGCACATCTTGTTGCATCTGTGGCCACCAGTACCCGTGAGTGAGGGCTCGGTGTGCCAGTGACTTTCCGCCAATGTGGCATCCACAAATCCCATTGTGAATTTCGTAGAGAACATTCTCAACGAGATTTGGATGTATACATAGGAGGTAGGGGCCAAGATAGGAGCGTCTGTAAAGCTTCCTAGATGGTGAGATCCAAAACCGAGATGACTTGTGTCTGACCTTGTTGGCTTTTCTTTTGTCTTCGAGGAGTGTACCAGATTTCAGAAAAGCAAATATTAGATCCATCCAACTTGGCTCTAAGTTGTTGTAGAGGACTGGAGATGCAATATTTGGTTCTGGTATAAACTCAACCCAAACTTTTCTGGCATCCTTCGTATCCACAGATGAGCCAAGGCATGCCAGAGCATCAGCGTGATTGTTTTTGTCCCGACTGATTCATTCCACCCGTATGGATTGAAATTTTCTGAGTAGGTCCTTGGCCTTGCCTGCGTACATAGCCATTTTTTCATCTCGTGTTTCATAGACCCCAGAAAGCTGGTTTACCACTAGTTGTGAATCGCTGAAAACAAGAAGCTGTTCTGCACTGAAGTGTTCGGCGCTACGCAATCCAGCCAATAACGCTTCATACTCGGCCTCGTTGTTTGAAGCATTCCAACCGAGCTTGAGAGCCTGTTTCCAGATGAACCCTTCTGGTGAAATAAGTACTACTCCTGCCCCCGAGCCTCGGTTATTGGACGATCCATCAACATAGAGCTGCCAAATGTTTCCAATAAAGAGTTTCTAAGCTTCCGAAGTGCAGGGTTTCCCTTGTTCGGTAGTGCGTAGCACCTGTGCCGAACTCGGATCCCCCAGTTCGGTACTTTGGGTGGGAGCAAATTCTGCTACAAAATCCGCTAAGACCTGGGCCTTGATCACTGTCCTGGGTTGATACCGAATGTCAAACTCACCAAGTTCTACCGCCCATTTTGCTGTTCGGCCTGAGAAATTGGCTTGGCTGAACACAAATCTAAGGGGAAATTCAATGAGGACGTTAATGGTATGCCCCTAGAAGTAATGCTGCAGCTTTTTTGAGGCAATAAGCAGTGCGTATGCTAACTTTTCCAACGGTAGATACCATGTCTCGGCGTCTAGTAAAGTCTTGCTGACATAATAGATAGGCCTCTGTTCCTTGTCAACTTCTCGAATTAATACTGCGCTCACAGCGTGATCTGAGACTGCTAGATAGAGGTACAGCTCATCTCCTTGTTCTGGAGTGGACAGTAGAGAAGGTGTACTGAGGTATCTTTTGAGGCTTTGTAGTGCTTCGGTACATTTGTTATTCCATTCAAATGCTGTATTTTTCCTTAAAAGCTAGAAGAAGGGCTTCATCCGATCTGAGGATTTGCTAATAAACCGATTCAGTGCGGCCGCCATTCCGGCCAACTTCTGCAGCTCTTTAGCCTTTGTTGGTACTTTAAGATCTCGTATCGCTCTAATCTGATTCGGATTCGCTTCAATTCCTCTGTGAGTGACCATGTAACCCAAGAACTTCCCTGTTCCTACCCCGAAAGCGCATTTCGAGGCATTGAGGCGAAGCTGGTGGTTTTTTAGGATGCCAAAAACTTCTCTCAAGTCCGTGAGATGGTTTGCAGCTAGCTTGCTTTTTACTACCATATCATCTATATATGCTTCCATGGTTTTTCCCAGTTGGTCCTTGGACATCCGTGTAATCATTCGCTGGTAAGTTGCCCCGCCGTTCTTGAGGCCGAATGGCATTACTTTGTAGCAGTAAGTTCCCCTTGGAGTGATAAATGTTGTGTTTTCTTGATCCGGACCGAACAGTGGTATCTGATGATAGCTGCTATAAGCATCCAGAAAGCTCATGCGCTCATGCCCTGTTGTTGAGTCTACTAGTTGATCAATGCGAGAGAGCGGAAACAAGTGAAGTCAACACAAACTCTCAATTTTTCGTTATTCTTCTTGACTACAACTGTGTTGGACAGCCATTGCGGGTATTGAACTTCCCTAATTGCTCCTGAAGCCAGGAGTTTTTTGACTTCGGCAATTACTGCTTCGGTGTGCTCGACTGACGATCCCTGACTTTTCTACACAATGGGCCGAGCTGAAGGGTTGATGTTGAGCTTGTGGCAAGCAAAGTCTGGGTCCAACCCTGGAGTATCATATGCTGACCACGCGAATACCTCCATATTCTTCCTTAGTAGTTCTAGCAGCTGAAGTTTCTCATTAGCGCCTAACGAGGTACCGATAAGGAAGTACTTTTCTGGGTCATCCCCTTTTACCAATACTTTCTCCAAATCCTCTACCATCTTTTCCCCTAGGGTTCCCCCTACATCTTCCAAGACTGGTTGTTCAGCCACTTCTACTATTTGTACCCGATTACAGAGCTGCTTTGCCTTTAATGCTGCCATGAAGCAATGTTTGGACGCAACTTGATCCCCTAAGATCTGCTCTACTCCGTGTTCCGTTGGGAAACGGATGAGCTGGTGGTATGTTGAAGGGACTGTCTCCATTTGATGAATCCACGGACGACCAAGTATGGCGTTGTAAGGGGATGGTGTATTAATAACTAAGAACTCTATCTAGAGGGTTTTTGTTCCCGTTACGACTGGCAACACTATTCTGCCAAGCGGCCATTCTAGCTGTGAATTGAAACCGACCAACGGGGCTGTCGCTGGGGTGAGGTGCTACTCGGAGAGACCAAGCTTTCTGAACAAATCATAATACAATATATCTGCTGCACTACCTTGATCCACCAAGACTCATTTTACATCAAACCGTTTCCCAATTCCCACAGTTATAATTAATGCATCAGTATGTGGGTGCTGTATGCCTTCTAAATCTTTGCTAGTAAATGAAACAGTGCACAAGGGGGATTTAGGTACTGTACGTACCTTTTTCGATGCAGGCTCCGCTGACATGACCCGCTGAATTTGCGCAGCCTTAGCGATCTCTTCCTTCAGTGCCTCCTCGGACTCCTAAGTTGCTGTCCCGTGGATCACATTTATTATCAGCCGAGGTGGATGCTCAATGTTTGGTTCTGGCAGTGGGTTTCCCAGTTCGGTCACTTCCTTGTCCTGATTAATGTAATCCCTTAGGTGTCCAGCTGCCACCAGGTCTTCCAAGTGTTGCTTCAGTGCCCTGTAGTTTTGAGTCATGTGCCCCCTGTCTTGGTGGTAGGTGCATCTGAGCTTCTGATTACACCGAGTTGGATCTCCCAACATTTTCGGCAACCAAACGAAGAAGGGCTCTCTCTTGATCTTTTCCAGGATTCGATAGATTGGTTCTTTGAATACAGTTACAACGGCTTCGTGGGATTTGGACTTATCCACTTCTTTCACTGTAATCCCTCAGTATTCTCCTTGGTCTGATCTTTTCTTGTGCCGAGCTGTTTGTTCTGCAGACGCTACCTCGATGGGGATCTGATCGTCTTCGAGGCGTGCGTACTGCTCAATCCTAGCATGCAAATCTTTCAAAACTGTGGCCGGGCGCTTGGTAAGTGACTGTCTCATCTTACTTTCCGGGCGCAGACCATGTTTGAAGGACATGACGGCCATCTGCTTGCTGCACACATTTTTCTCCAGGTCATTGTATTCTTCCCAGTACCTTCTAGCATAATTGCGCAGTGTTTCCTCTTGCTCCTTTCGGAGGCCGAACAGTGTATCTGGCTCCTTCGGGATCTTAGTGTTGGAGACGAACCTGGCTAGGAACTCTTCGGAGAGCTGCTTGCAGCCATGGATCGATCCAGCGGAGAGACGGTCGAACCATCGAAGTCTGGTTTCTCCCAAGCTGGATGGGAAGACTTTACACATCAGTGCCTCGTCTCGGTTCCATAGGGACATCATCTGTCTATAGTGGCTAATATGTGTCAGTTTTCTCCAGGTCATTGTATTCTTCCCAGTACCTTCTAGCATAATTGCGCAGTGTTTCCTCCTGCTCCTTTCGGAGGCCGAACAGTGTATCTGGCTCCTTCGGGATCTTAGTGTTGGAGACGAACATGGCTAGGAACTCTTCGGAGAGCTGCTTGCAGCCATGGATCGATCTAGCGGAGAGACGGTCGAACCATCAAAGTCTGGTTTCTCCCAAGCTGGATGGGAAGACTTTACACATCAGTGCCTCGTCTCGGTTCCATAGGGACATCATCTGTCTATAGTGGCTAATATGTGTCAGTGGGTCCGACTTCCCGTCGTATGAAGTGAACTTTGGCGGGGTGAATTTCTTTGGAGGTCTTATGGTCTCGATCTCCGGAGAGAATGGCGAAGAGACGAGCCTGTCCAGCGCTCGGTGTTCCCTCTGGTGAACAGTACGGTCCAGATGATCCCGATGTTGTTCATTCTGCCTATTACCAATCAACCAAGTGCAAAAGTCCTGAGGAGGGTATTCGATCTGTTGACTAACGGTCTTCTGCCTCTTGGCCCTTTTCCGGCGTGACCCATGGGTGTGATTGCTTGCCACCTCACTCTGTACTAGGATAGGCTGACTTTGTTGTCCAGAATCATTCCTGGGGAACTTCTTCACCGGTGGTTCTCTGGATGAGATCCTCCGTCATAAACGAGAGGGCTCCGCTTCCATCTTCTTTTCTGTTGGATTGCCCAATACTCTCTTAAGTTAGGCTTTCAATTCCTGTATCTCCATCCCCATGGAGTCTATGATGCGATCTCTATAATCCTTTTCCAGAAGAAAGTGATGAGTAGAACCTTCAGCGAAGGATAATCGATGCTCGACGGATTCAGGGGTTCGATTATTGTTTCCAGTTTGTTCCTCCGGGACTGTTGGGAGTGCCAAACATTTGTCTTTTGTTTTCTCCGTCTGTGGAGTATGTGTCGAAGGCGGAATGTCCTCTATCCCCATCACCGGAACTGAGTGCAGAGCTCAGAGATGAAGTGGTCCACGTTCACCGCACCAATTGGGCGTACTGCATTCCGCACTAGATGAAAGTGGATCGGGGCTTCGCACTCGGTTGGACTATCCAGGGACTGAGATTCCTGCCACAAGAAGCACCGTTAGAGCTGTCTGGCCGAGGTTGGCCGGATAACCCCTCCGGTGTGGAAATTAGTGATCGGAGGGAGAATGTATATCGAGTTGAGATTATAGTTGTACTTGGAATTGTTCAGTTCTCTTCAATGTGAAGTTCATGTTGTACATATAGTGTTCCTTGCTTGCTTCTCAAGGTGAGTTCATGGAGCTTGGATGCTTCCAGGTGTCCTTTTAGCATTGTCCAAGGTGGGGGATCACCTGGTAGTTGCCATTGAATGCATATACTTATTGCAGTCATGCTGATAACAAACCACATTCCTTTGGTTCAACAACTTCCGTGATTCTAGGTGTAGGGGACCAGCTGAGGTGGCAACTTGCACGTGTACACGTTCACAATTTCCACGTTTCCTTGCGAGGTTTCCTCAGCTCGGTACCGATGTTCCTCAGCTCGGCATCATTATGCCTTGTCTCAGCCTTTTACAGGATCAGTCATGGAGATGGACTGGTCCATTCGGGTATCTTTGTATGGGCTCGGCCTATCATCTGTTCGGCCCATAGATTCAGTCTCGCAGCTCGGCCCAGCCCAGCACCACGGCTGGACTAGCCTTTCCACTGCGGGTTGGGCCCAAGTGCTTGAGGACTTGGGTGGACTGTTGATCATGAAGTTAGGCTTAATTGGTCTGCCTATATGCTCATCCAGCCCGCTTGGATCTGGACTTCAGCGGATTGGGCCGGCCCAAGGCTTGGACCTGACCCATTTCACATTTAGCCCCTTCAATCATGAATTGATTGACTACTTAGATTCAGACTTTGAAGGATGCATTGATAATAAAAAGTTCACTTTTAATTATTTATTCTTATTATGTGAAGAAGAATTATCATGAAAAGTGTAAAATGAACTATAATAAATATTTCCTGTGAAAGGTGAATTTATGGTGTACTTTGAAACCATAATTCATGAATTATTGTTACGAAACTTTATCTCAAAACTTGGGATAGTCAGTTGATTAGCTTTAACATGGATTATGACCTTTAAACATGAATCTTATGAAATATATATATATATATATATATATTTTTGGGGGGAGGGGGGAGGGGTTTGAAAACTAATTTATATAGGGGAATTTCTCATAATAAAACTTTAAGCACAAAATTTTTTACTTAAAAGTTCAACACATATCATTATTATTAAAATATTAGATTTTAAAATAATATAAATTTTGATTTAGATGTCGATTTTTAATAAAATTAATATTTTTAAATCCATCTCATCAAGATATATTAAATAAGATATTATAAAATTCTTAAAAAATAAATAAATAAATTATTATCGTCGAAATTGATGTAAACAATAATATGTTACTATGTTTGACAGTAACATGTTACTCTGACAATTTTGTCTAAGAAAAAAAAAGATATTTTACTTTGTTTTTACTCAATTATGCACCTTCTCCTTGGAGTTTTTTGAAACAAAATGAATTAGATTGTCCTTTTCACCAAATAAGGATCCAATGGAAATGCTTTGGCTAAATTTCTCATTT